TCAGGCTATTTGCTGGGCTATAGTTCAGATGTGCAAAGTACCATTATGTGTGTAGGTGAAAAACTGCCCTATAATTATTATTTTACAAATGACGGTCCTTGAAAACAGCGGTGTCCAAATTTCCTGGCTCAGCGGGCTGTTGGTGGCGGCATGGGGGAGAGGGGATGGTTGCGCAAGCGTGCCGCTTTCATAAACGCAGCTGTGTGTACACACTCGCCCACCACTTCCGTGGCCCGGTTCCAAATGGGCTGTGGCCTGGCACCAGGCCACGGACTGGGGGTTGGGGACCCCTGCTTTAAAAAAAAAGACCCCCAGTAGAGTCTTATAAGACTGTGAGGGGTATCATGTTTATTATGGCAATAGGGTTATCCCGAGGGATGGAGAGAGATCAAAACAGAGGTCATTTTGCAAAGCGTTTGGGGAATGATAATGTAGACCGGTGGTGGCGAACCTATGGCACGGGTGCCAGAGGTGGCACTCAGAGCCCTCTCTGTGGGCACGCACGCCGTTGCCCCAGCCCCGCCACCCCCCGTGGCCCCCTCACCAGCAGCCCCCCCAGAGGAGAGTCACCCCGGGCGCAGCCTGTGCAGAGCAGCACAGCCAAGGACATGGCAGCCGGGCAGTGGGGACAAGACTCCACCCTCGCGCCCCATCGCGTACAGATGATGCTGCGGGGCGCAGACAGAGGGCATGGCCACCATGATGCTGCTGGGCCGCCTGGGCGATCTGCTGTGGCAGGTTGCGGAGGTGGTGGGTGGCCCTGCGGGCAGATGTGGGGATGGACAGGGGCGAGGCGGGTTTTGGGCACTCGGTTTCTAAAAGGTTCGCCATCACTGACGTAGACATTAAAAACTGAAAACTCTTTTAAAAAATTGTAAGTAAATGAGAGGAAAGAAAAGGCAAGCGATATGATACAGACTGAAAGCAAACCACGAACGCAACTGTGTCAGGGTTGATTGTTCTTTGCCTACAAGAGCAGGTGTTACGTTTCGTGCCAGTTATTTCCTCCTCTGCCCTGTAGTTCCGATTTGAGGAACTAAAACCCCGAGTGGCCTCTTGTAACCGCTTCTCCAGATTCTGCAACCTCTGGTGAATCAGTTCTCTCCCTTCCTAGCTTTGTGAGCCCCAGCGATTCTCTGCGAGACCCAGAGAAAGAGCCAGAGGAAGGCAGAGATCCAGACAAAGAATCCGACCAGACTGAAAGTCTGCATGGATATGAGAGGGACAGTGACCGGGATCGTAGCCGGGACAGGAGCAGAGACCGGGACCGGGACAGAGATCGAGACAGAGACAGAGATCGAGATCGAGGGCGTGAACGAGAACGGGACGGAGAAGGCTTCCGCCGTAAGAAATACTTGGTCCCTTTGGAGGGCAATATTGTTGGGCTGAGTTTCTTCAGAAGCAATTTCCTTCATAGCTTCTCCGCTACAGTCAGAAATCTTGCCAGACGACAGTAGTGGCCAAAATTGTGGAAACCTTTTGGGAAAAGTGTATTTTTGAGGTTTGATGGCTAATAACACCACTTTTTTTGGGGGGGGGAGTAGTGCCATAAAATTATACATCAATCGAAAGATAATTTAATCAAGAATGTAATGCAACAAAGCTTGTTCAATTATCTGTACTGTATTCTATGAAAAGTTATAGCCAAATAACCAGAAAAAGGAAGCACAACTTGCTTAGGTTGATATCAGGTAGCTTGCCTTCACCTGATTGTAGCCAATGAGCATGAGTGTTTAGAGAGTCAATCGGGTGTCATCTTTTTTTGGCAATGAGCCAATCAGATCACAGGATTCAGTGATTGATGTCAGGTATTGAAGCTGAGAGGAGGACATTTGTCAGTGTTTTATGTGATTGCTATCCAGTTGGTTGGGGTTTTTTTGTGTTCTTTCATTTAGTGAGCTTGTAATAAAATTAAAGTAATGGTGCAAAGTGTTGACTGGTCGCCCAGAAAGCGATGTAAAATAGTATTATTAAGTGAACAAGGCTACAGTTATCAAGAAATTAGAAGAAAAATTGGTGGAAACTTAACCAAAGGTGGCATTTCTACTGTACACTTTTCCCAAAAGGTTTCCACAATTTTGGCCACTACTGTATAACAAACTGCTTGCCTCATTAAAGATATACAGGTCGTCCTCGACTTAAAACCACAATTGAGCTCAAAATTTCCGTTGCTAAGCGAGACAGTTGTGAAGTGAATTTTGCCTCATTGTACAGTCTTGCCACGGTTGCTAAGTGAATCACTGTAGTTAAGTAACAGGGTTATTTTAAGTGGCTTCCCCGTTGACTTTGCTTGTCGGAAGGTCGCAAAAGTTGATTACATAAACTCGGGACACTGCAACCGTTGTAAATAGGAACCGGTTACCGTATGAGACAATTTCAGTTGCCAGAAATTGGGTTTGGCTTATCTGTGAGTAAATAACCCAAAATGAGTACATGATCCATAGATTAGCCTATTGGTGAAATTTAAAGCATACAGGAATGTCAAGGGTCAGCTTATCCACGGGCGGCCATTTTGCAGAGTATTTGGTTAAAAATGGAAGGATTGGCTTATCCACAGATGGGTTTATACACGAGTATATATGGAATATTGATTCTGCAGGAGAAAAGAGGAGAAGACATTATGTGTGGTTTGCAGGACTTTGGCAGAACCAAAAGCCACAAATTGTTTCTCAACTGCTTCTCTCTTCCCCCCCTCCTTTGTTATCCAGGATCAGATTCTTACCCTGAGTGGCGTCTCCCACGCAAAGGGAACACGGTTTACGTGTATGGGGCAAATATGAATGAAGCCATGTTGACCACGGCTTTCTCGGCCTTCGGGAAGATCATTGACCTCTCCGTAGACGGCGTCCGCAAGTGAGTGGTGGGAGGGACCTGGGCCCCAGGGCCTCAGAGGAAAGTCCATACGACGCCCTCGATAGAAACTTGCATGAAAATGAAGAACCCTGCCAAACAATTCGCCCATCTCTCCTCAGTTAAATGCAGGTCGTCCTCGACTTGCAAGCACCAAATTTCCATTGCTAAGCGAGTTTTGCCCCACGTTACGACCTTTCTTGCACAGTTGCTAAGCGAATCACTGCCGTTGTTAAATTAGTAATCCGATTGTTAAAAGAATCTGGCTTCCCCCCATTGACTTTGCTTGTCAAAAGGTTGCAACAGGGAGATCAAGTGATCCTGGGGCACTGCGACGGATAGAAATGCATGCCAATTGCCAAGCATCCCAATTTTGATCACCTGACCGTGGGGGGCTGGAATGCAACAATGGTTGTAAGTGTGAAAAATGTACCAAACAAATAATTGTAAGTTGAGAACTACCTGCTACCGTGTTTCCCTGAAAATAAGACCCGGTGGTTCTGTCCCAGCCTACGTGAGACCTTGTTATGCTCACAAGGAGAAACCCCTCTTCCAACAAGCTGGCTGGAACCGCAGGAAAAAACCAATCCCCTGAGCCAATGTCCAAGGCAAAGAAACACAGTTCACAGAAACTCGATCCTCAACACGAACGTTTGCCTTTGACAACCAGCACCTCCCACACCTTCCCTTATTATTATTCAGCCAAGGCGTGGCTTCCTAATACCTTCTCCTTTGCCTTTGGAGCCGCCCCGTTGCATTCCTCTGTCCTACTCTCTTTTCTTGCTGGCATTTACGTGCATCCTGGATGTCTCCCGGCTGTGGTTCATCACTGTCCGACTCAGACTCCCAGCACTGCTGTGTCTCAGCCTGAGCGCGAGTAGAGGGGCCAGGCTCCTCGTCAGACTGTAAGTCTTGGAGCTCCTCAGAGCCTTCCTCTGACTCTGATGTTACTCCAGGCCCCTCCTCCTCCTCTGATGCCTCAGACTCAGCTGCCGGGTCCACTGGCTGGCGAGAAATCACAACATTGGTCTTATTTTTATTTTTTATTTATTTTTTTGCCTCCCAAAAGAGACACCAGGTCTCATTTTCGGGGGTGAGGGTGTCTTTTCCACTCACCTCCGGCGCTGACAGCCCTGCCCAGCCGGCCCACTTCTTCTACGACCGAAGGAGCAGCTTCATTCTGCAGCTGAGAATGGAGCGCTCCAGCCTGTATTTCGCCTTCAGGGGCCTTTCCGGACAGGCCTCTGCAGCTGAGAACCGAGCTATGGATTGAATCTGTAGCTTGGTTCTCGGCTGCAGAGATCTTCCGGAAAGGCCTCTGGCTGCGAAATGCAGGCTGGGGGACGCCACAGAAGTGGGCCGGCGAGGAGAGGCAGGCTGCAACGGTAAGCGGATACGTGGCGTATGAGGCAGCTCCAATCTTCCCGCCCCCCGCCCTAGCTTGATTTTTGGTGTGTGTCTCACCCCAAAACTAAGGCTTATTTTTGGGGGTAGGGTTTATATTAGGCCCGACCCCCAAAATCAAGCTAGGACTTATTTTCGGGGTAGGTCTTACTTTCGGGGAAAACATGGTAACAGCAACAGTCTCTAAGTTGGCTACCTCGTTTCCATTACCTCAATATCAGATGATGATACAGTTATCCAGAGGTTTATCCCCTCATGCTAGATTGTCCATTAAACCTCAACTCTTAACTTGAGGAACACGGCTAAGTCATGGTCTATTGAACTTTGATTTTACTGAATAAACGTACGGATATGTTTCTCGGCATTGCGTAGATACAGACAAGGATCTGCATCACTTTGCCAGTCATAGGAAGAGGATAGCATCATTTTCTATAAAAAAAAATAATCTTGAAGGGAATTGATATTTCTCTTCACCTTCCCCCCCCTCCCCCACCAATATGTTGGCTGGGAAATTTGGGGAGTTGGAAGTCCACACATCTTTAAAAGCTGTGGCTGAAAAACACTGCTGTGTGGCAGCAGTTGCATAAAATAGCGCAAAGTAATAGGTACTAATTTCGGATTAAATTTTTAGTACACAAAATGTCTATTTTTTTAAAAAAATGATGGGAATGATTACACATGTGCAAATAATCCTATTTTATGTGCTGAAAAATGTGAAGGTCCCAGGTTCTTAAAGGGCAAAATGTCGGGGGGGTGTATATTTACTGATGACCCAAATCGGTGGTTGTTGCTAGAGGCAACCACAATGAGGTCAAAGATTCCTTCCCTTCCCCTTCCCTTCCTCTGCTTCTTTTTCCGTTGCGGTTAGAGAAACAGATTTGTAACTTCGATCCACATTGACCGTGGTTCCTCCATAAATGGTACTTTGTGCCATTAAGCAATTAGCCACCTGGGACCTTTCCCCCCACCCCCCACCCCCACTAATTGCTCTCCTTTTTTCCCCCCACCCTCAGCTGTGCTTTTGTGACCTATGACAAGCTCGAATCAGCAGATCAAGCTGTTGCTCAGGTATTGGAAGAGGGATTTTCCTATAGGTGACGGAGGTAAAATGAGAGCCAATGTGGTCTAATGGTTAAGGCACCAAGCTAGAAAGCAGGAAACCATGAGTTCAAGTCCCACCTTAGCCATTAAAAATCAGCTTGGTGATCTTGAGCCAGTCATTCTCTTTCTCAGTACATTGTACAGAGAAGAGCAACAAAGATGATCAGGGGACTGGAGGCTAAAGCATATAAGGAACGGTTGCTGGAATTGGGTATGTTTAGTTTAACGAAGAGAAGGCCGAGGGGGGACATGATAGCAGTGTTCCAATATCTCAGGGGCTGCCACAAAGAAGAGGGTGTCAACCTATTTTCCAAGGCGCCTGAAGGCAGGACAAGAAGAAATGGATGGAAACTAATCAAGGAGAGAAGCAACTTAGAACTAAGGAGAAACTTCCTGACAGTGAGAACAATTAACCAGTGGAACAACCTGCCTCCAGAAGCGATGAATGCTCCAACACTGGAAGTTTTTAAGAAGAGACTGGACAGCCATTTGTCTGAAATGGTATAGGATTTCCTGCCTGAGCAGGGGGTTGGACTAGATGACCTCCAAGGTCCCTTCCAACTTTATTATTATTATTATTATTATTATTATTATTATTATTATTATTATTATTATTATTATTATTTTATTATTATTATTATTATTATTATTATTATTATAGTCCAACCCACCTCACAGGATTGTTGTGAGGAAAATATGAGGAGGATGGTGTGTCGGGTATGTTTGCTGCCTTAAGTTATTTGTAAAAATAAGAAAGGCAATGAATTGAATGAATGAATGAATGAATGAATGAATGAATGATGGCGGTGGCCTATGCTGGGAATGGCTGAGAAGATCTCCACCCTCCACCCCCCCGTGTCTCCCATCCTCTTGGTTTTTAGTCTTTATTTAATTTCTCTTCATTTTAATGGTTTTCAGTCTTGATTTAATTTCCTTTAATTTTAATGGTTTTATATTATTTTTTTTATCGCTTCGTAAGCCAGCCAGAGTCGCTTCAACAGTAAGATGAGTGCTACATACATTTAATCAATCAATCAATCAGGAGGAATGGCGCTGGAGCGCCAGTTCCCTCTTAATCATTTTCTATTCAGCAATTGTCTGGGCAGCCTGTATTATATCTGGAATCAGCCCCCTCCCCCCCTTTTTGGGGGTGTGTGTGTCTCATTCTCATGGATCAAGATAGGATGATGGATCTTGGCTTGGTGAAGTTTGATTGGCCTTTACCAGACAGGGAAGTCTCTTTTGTTTTCTCAAAAGTTGGTCTGGGCTCTCGAGTGATTGGATGTCTCGTTTCCTCCCAGCTCAACGGTACCGTCGTAGAAGATGTGAAGCTGACGGTCAGCATCGCTCGCAAGCAGCCCATGCTGGATGTGGCTATCGGCAACTCCGTGTGGGGAACTTTGGGTGAGGAGAAGCACGGGAGGGATCGGGAATAGGTGCAGAGCCTCTTGAGGACAGATGAGTGTGACCAAACCAAGGTCCCCAGGCCGTTTTTAATCTTTATGTGGAAAGCAGCCTAAGTGCCATTTTACATTGTGCCTGCTTGTGCTTGACAATCTAAGACATTGAGGGCCGCATCAGCATTGCGGTTGCCCTCAGGGGGCCGGGTGGGTGTGGCCTACTGGGTGGGCATGGATGGAGTGGGTGTGGCCTACTGGGTGGGCGTGGCCAGCTCTACATCGTTCGCGTCAAGGGTGCCTGTGGGGGCCTGGGCAGGAGTGGGACCGATCTGAGGGTCTCTGGCAGAAAGGGGTGGGACCAGGGCAAGTGCCAAGGCATGGTCCACTGGGGGAGCCTCACTGTTCCTCTCAGGCCATACAAGGGAGGGGGCTTATGGAGCTAAGACTGAATGCGTTTCAGCATAGATGGCCACCACAAAATTGTACATTGACTCCCGGCCGGCCTGGGCCAGGGCCAAGGCAGCGGGGGCCGTTCCCTCACTGTTTCTAGGATGGCTTCGCGGGCCACATGAAACCACTTTGCAGGCCGCATCCGGCCCCCGGGCCTTGTGTTTGACATGTCTGATCTAAGATGAGAATGGACTAAATCAGGGGTAGGCAACCTCGGCTCTTTTATGACTCATGGGCTTCAACTCCCAGAATTCCTGAGCCAGCTACGCTATGCTGACTCGGGAATTCTGGGAGTTGAAGTCCATGAGTCATAAAAGAGCCAAGGTTGCCTACCCCTGGACTAAATAAATCTGCCTAGGTCTCTTTGGTAAGCAGGATTTGGCATCAGAGGTCACAAGGTTAAGTCCCTCCCAAAATATTTCTGCATCCCAAACTGAGGGGGCGGGGCACAGGCTTTGTATGGTTTTTCTTTTTGGGAGGTAAAGCCAGAAGTGGGAGAAGCCAAAATCTATTTATCTTTTGCTAGGAATCCTTATGTGTATCATTTTCCTTTTTCAGCTGTGATAAACACCATCAATGGTTCTCATCAGGACAAACGATCCCAAGTTATCTACAAAGAGGACAACTTCTGAAGCAGCATATGAACCCCCACCCTTCCCCGTCCTCTCTTTGCCTTTTCACTTAAAAGATTCAAATAAATATTAGCTTTTAAAAACTGTTTGAACCGTGCCAATTCCAGTTTAGGAGTGAGGCTTTGGAAAGTACTGTGTCCTTTTCGGTGTCTTTTAACACAAGTTTGAACCTCAAGGCTTCCCCCACTTGGAAGACAGGTTGATTCAATAAATATAGGGAGGGGGTCTGAAAGAAAATATAGATGAAATGTAGATAGATTTTTCTAAATGTGGTTTAGCCACAGAAAATGAAGTGATTGTTTTCATCAGATGTTTTGCAACTGAAAGAAAGGAAAGTTGAGGCAGCCAAGCTAGAAAGAACACTTAGTTTGATAACAAAAAGCAATTTATTAGCTTCAGAATTAGCTAAGCATCAAGTTAATCTGGAAATAATACGATGAGCATCTGGATAGAAAAAAACCCCAGTTTACTTGGATCCTGTGATTTAAGTTTAAGTCACAAGAGGAGTGCAAAAAAGATAAAGTAGGAGTCCTGAATGAAAAGTAATCTCCCAACCAAATAAATGAGAAGTGGCTGTAAAAATTGATACAGGTAGTCCTGGACTTACAACCATTTGTTTAGTGACCGTTTGAAGTTACAACAGCATCGAAAAAAGTGACTTACGACTACTTAACGACTATTGCAGCATCACGTGTCCAAATTCAGACGCTTGGCAACTGACTCATATTTATGACAGCTAGTGTGTCCCGGGGTCACGTGATCCCCTTTTTGTGACCTTCTTACAAGCAAAATCAATGGGGAAGCCAAATTCCCTTCACAACCCTGTCACTAACTTAACAACTGCAGTGATTCGCTTAACAACCGTGGCAAGAAAGGTCGTAAAATGGGGCAAAACTCACTTAACTGTCTTAGCCACAGTCTTAGCTGTTGCTTAGGAATAGAAATTTGGGGCTCAGCTGTGATCGTAAGTCGAGGACTACCTGTATATTTGAATTTGCTTGGAACGGAGGGAGAAGCATTGTGCTACAGAAGGACGCAGAAGTATACAGAGTTACGTTAATGGGAGTGCAGGAAAAGATTGTTTAGTGGAGTGACGAGAGAGAAGAGACTCTGAATGAGGAGGAAACTTAAAAACAGTATATCAAAAAGGGGAATTGAAACAAATGTTAAACACGTTTATGGCAAAGAAAAATGGATGAAAAGGCAATAGTAGATCCTGTTAACAATGTCGAAAAGTGCTAAGGTGAAAATAGCTGGAGTAATGTTATATGGATGCAGTTTTGCCTGTGGAGGGAGCTACATGACTGCATCTGACAATTGGAAAAATCCTTTTATTCCTGAGGCAACGACAGCGGGCAGTTAGTGTAAAGGGCAGAGGGCGTGGCCTTGAATTACAGGAGAGTCTCTACCACTGTAAGGGATCGGAGGGGCCTTGAGCCTCAGGCCAAAGAAATAATGTGAGAAAAGGTCTCAGCCAAGCCCCTTGCAACTTCTCATGAAGATAAAGTGAGGGGAGAGGGAGGTACTTTCAGACTTGCAAGACTTTATTTGTTTAAATGTTCCAATAAATATTTCTTATATGATATTGGTTGTGTTTTTTTTTAGTTTGCTCTACCTCATTGGGCTGACAGTTCCTGAGAAATACACAAACGTTACAAATATTTAGTTTGTTGACAGGTAAAAGTGCGTTGGAAAAGCAAAAACATGAGTTACGGGAAGTTTCTGCTAACCCAGAAGTGACTGTGAGTTGAAGTCCACCTTAGGTGTGAAAGCCAGCTGGGTAACCTTGGGCCAGTCGCGCGCTCTCGGCCCAACTCGCCTCACAGAGTTGTGGGGAAAATAGAAGGAGGAAGATGCATTAAACATGTTTACCGCCTTGAGTTATTCGTAAAAAGGCAAGAGATGATAGAGATAGGATAGATAGATAGATCTGTTGTTCGTCCATCGATTTCGATGAAGACCTTGACATCTTATGGATTATGGGCCATCAGCGGTGTGTCCGTAGATGGCTGATGAGACCGATGTTGGCACGGAATGTTCTGCCACATACTGAACAGAGAAATGTGGACACTGTTGCTTCAGCATTTGCAGCTCTGGCTTTACGGAGTGCTCGCTTCTCTTGTGCCAAGATTGTCCTTCTGTGTTCATATGTCTGGCAACCCTGGTAAACCAGGGTGCGCCATGTCGGTCAATCATGCGCCACAAATTCCCAAGAGATGGTGTCGA